AGATAGGACAATCTTATCTTAATATTATATATGATTTATTAAAAAAAAATCAGAACATATTTTAATGTTCCCAACATGAATTGTTTTTTAAATATATATAATTAATCTTTAAGTAAAAAGGATCTCATTGGTTCTTTGGATTAAGATTTATAAAATGTAGTTTATTTCAGCAAAAATGTATGATGATGATTATGATATCATGGATAAAGTAGTCATAGGTCAATTATTGTTCATTTGTAGAATACAAATATGATATTCAAACTAGTCATTTGTTGTTCATTGATCTTATATATATTAAACTGAGGAGAGAGAGCACTGTGTTAGTTTTTTCAGTTAAAGGATAGTGAAAATCTGAACAGTGCATCATCATCGTTGTTATTGATGAAATGCCCTTGGCAAGAAAATTTAGTTGCTTCTGGACAGTGTTGTTTTTCATCATTCAGGAAGATCAATGTTGGTTCAGTCACTTCTAAGGTTATTGTTTGTCTTTTCATAAGAAGTGATATGAATAAGGAATTAATCATAGGTTAAGTTCTTTAATCTATTCTTTTGTTTTAGTTTTTTTAATTTCCTGTCGGTGTTTATGAACCTGTATATCTAGTACCATTGCAAAAGTTGTTGAAAACAGGTATCTGTGTTTACCTGCTTAAGATATACAATACAAGAACAATAATAAGACAAACATCTGTGATTGTCTTCTAGATTAGATGGTCTCTATACTTCCCTTAAGTTGGTCAATGCCAAGGCTCCATTCATCTTCATTAAAAGCTGTCTTAATTAAAAGCTGCTGCATTTAATATATATTATAAATCAACAATAGAAATATATAAATAATTTAAGTAAACTTAGAAGATACAATGAAGCAGAAAAGAGGGAGGGAAATATGAATCTTGAGACCATCCTAATGATTGGACAATGTTTCTTCTATGATTAAAGTATTGCTATAATACCTCCTTTCACACTAGTATTACATGACATGAAGTTATGATAGTATGAAAATCAAAGAAGATTTTTTGAAGACTTCAAAATTGGCGATATAATATTAGTTTTAAGTTATAGTCAAATATGCAATATACAATAACGTTAAGAAATAGAAAAAAAGAAAACAATGTTAGATAGCTTTGAAACTTATGTTAGATAGTATTGAAACTTTTCTTAAACTAAAGAAAATAGGTGACGTTACTTAAAAGTTATTACTATTTGCGAAAAAAAAAATTTAGATAGTATTGAAACCTTAAAGAAAATAGGTGAGGTTATTTAAAAGTTATTACTATTTGCGAATGAGCTTTATCCAGTTGAGAAGATCAAATTGCTAGAGTCGGTTTTTCTTTAACTCAACCTTGGGACCCAGATTGTCCTTAATGGAAAAGGAAGGAATTGTAAGGGACATGTAGCAACTGATCTATATATTCTCTTACCCTTTGCACACATTGAAGGAACCCTTTATACGCAAGAATCCTAAATCAATATTTATATATACAATATTATATAAAGATATTCTTGGTAATTCTCATATAATAAAATAACATTTTTTAAAGTATATAATAACATTTAATACATTTCATCTCATTTCTATAAGATGTATTTTAATAACTTAAGGTATCTACCTATAATTTTTCACATTATAACAATATAATTTTTTTTTATTTGACATTTGTCTATTTTTTTAACAATAACATTTTTGTAAACATCATTTTTAGCTAATTTTTATTTTATTAAATTTATTATTTTCGGGGTTTCAATTTGTATATATGAAACATTTAATTTGAAGTTTGGAGTTATTTTTTATGATTTTTTGAGTGTTAAGCGAATTTTTAACATAAGATTTATTGAATGAATATGAAAGCACTTACCTCTAAATTAAACAAATTTAAACTCTCTTTGTGATAGTAATATATTGCATAATTTGTTAAAATATAAATATTATTCTCCAAATTGCAAATCAATTTACTAAATTCAATCTAAAATCAATACATTTGAAACAAAAATTGTCATTTTCAATCTTATAAAAACCAATTATATGTTCATATTCAATACAATTATCACAAATCAATACATATACAATCACACAATTCGATTTTCTAAAACTTAATCAATGTGACTAAGTCACATTCACAGTCCATATCTTCTAGCCTAGAACACTATGAAAATTAAAGAATAATTAATTTTTCTTATCTCAAACACAATGCTTCTAAGTAAGAGAATACAAAAACTCCTAAATTTTCAGGAAGACAAATTATGCTCATAGAAAACCCCAAATAACAAATTATGTATATCACAATACTCATAAACTAGTCAATATTTATTTTTTCAAAACAAAGTGTACATGCAAACCCTTCGAGATTTATCAAATATGATCAAAAATTGGGAAAAGAGAAACATACTTTATCCAAAATTCTGATTTGGTAGAAATGATTTCCTTTTCTCCAAAAATATTAAGGTGTACTTGGATTTAAAAAAAGATGAGAGAGAGTGAGAAATTTAGAAAAAAGACAGAGAAAAACAAGTTTTAGATAAACAATAGCTTATGAATATGAAGTTTGAATGATGAAATTTTTCTATTTATAATTCGTTTTAACTTAATAAGTAAAATTTCAAATTTAGTTTCATTATATCATCTATATTATTAATTCATTTAAACTCATTCCTCACAATCCATCATATCTGGTGATTTTGTCTGCCTGAATATTATTATCTGAATAAACTATAAATTGAAATGTTTAATCTAATCATATTTTGTTATGACAAACTTGTAAGTTGACCTGTGTGACTCATCTTGCCACTTACTTTTATATAATTTCATCCTAATGTTGTGAATTTTATAAAATTTAATGTATTAAGTATAAACAAATACTAGTATTCAAAACCAAACAAATCCCAGAATAAAATGAAAAATCTGTTCAAAAAAAAATTAAAAATCAATCAAAATCAATTTTTTTATTAAAAGAAAATCTAAAATTATTCGAACGATATTGACTGAAACAAACCAAAATTATAGTCCAAACTGAAACGAAACAAAATTATGATATATATTATTGAAATTAAAATATAAAACGTTATTGACTGTGAATGAGCTAATTATTTTCTTAAAATTTAGGATATATATTACTATTAGTTAAATTAGATATAAAATATATAAAAACAAATTAAAACTATAAATTCATAAAATTTTATATTATATTTTTTAATAAATATTTTATTATAATATGTTTAACCATTTTATAAATAAAAATCGTCCAAATCAAATTGCAGAATATATATTTGGTTTAGTTTACTTTTTTTTAAAATAAAAATAAAATTACATTTTAAATTTTATGTTTGATTTAGATATTTGTATAGCATAAAATCCAACCAAACCACGCTGTAAAACCGTAAACAGAAAATTCAACGGAATTGAGTTTAAAATTTGAATCTTGCATCAATATTTTAATTGGTTTAATCACCCATATGAGCTTTGGAAACATTGTTTTAGAATTGTTAGCATGAAGTACATTTTTATGTTTTAATATTGCAGCTACGTTTTTTCATTTAATTTATTTTTATATTATCCCCTATCATTGCCACAATTTATCTTTTAGTGTGAATACTTATCGGTTGACGTATCATAGCGAATGATAAGAGAAGTTTGTGCGTTCAAGCAATTTAAAGTCTTCAATTGAAAGGGATCGATTCATACAATCATTCAAGTATATCAAGAATGATGCATACTAAGCAAACAAAAAAAAAATCAAGTGGAGATGAATAAGGAAGTTGTAATTTTATATTAAGTTTTTAAGATAAGTTATGAGAGATAAGTATTAAAAGAAAAATTTAAATAAGATGAAATATCGTTTGACCCTTATCTCATGCTTATAAACAAATTATTTGCTTAATTTAATTTGTCTTTAACATTAATTTTATTTTTTCAAAATAATTTATACAATTATTTAATAATTCTAATTTTAAAATTATATTAAATAAAAAATATATTTAAATTAAAAGATAATTTCGACAGTTTTATACTAACTACCATCATAATTGAAAAATTATATATTATTTAATAAAAACATATTTTAAGATTATTAAAAAAAACATATTATTCGGGTGACAATTCTATTGTACGAGGTTTTTTTATATGCATGTTGAGAGTCCTTCTAGTTTAAAATAAAATATTTCTTAAAATGAATCGTGGAGTGAAACAGGTATTACGTAACCTGTCATATCAGTCTTCGGCTTTCAAATTTCCATTTTATTCTCAAATAAATGCAAATTGTTCATATTATATTATGCTTTTGTCATGTTGTTTTAAAGAAAAGAAAAAACTAAATGATAAGAATCATCTAAATTTATTTAATAATGATAGGAATTCGTAACTATTAAAACTAAAATACACAAGTATTAATTAGCCTTTTTTAGATTTTTTCTTATCTCATCTCATGTATTTATATATTTTCAACTATATAGATCTATTAAATATATAAAATTAGGATAATAAAATAAATTTTTTTCAGATATTTAATAATAATTTTAATAAAATTAAGAGATACATGTATACATTTATAACTCCTCCATTAAAAAATAAATAAAAGAAATAACAAGTAAGATATTAAAAGAAGTAATAGTATTATAAAAAATTCAACTTTTTAGAATTGTCTACTGTGAGAGTAAAATTTGAACTCTTAACTATGTGAATTTCACCTAATATAATTTTCTATATAAAAACATAAAGAAACTTATAAAACTTTTATAACATTAGAAAACTCCTTCTCATTATAATTGTTAATTTCGAGAAGAGATATATTATTAAGTATTATATGGTCAAGATAATTCAAGCAAGATAATAAGAAAATATATCATTTTTAATTATTCGTTAATTTACTAGTTCCTTAACATGTCACATCAAACATGAAAACTTAATACGCAACTATTAAGAGAAAGTCAATGATTGAATAAGTAACACATTTGCCATATATTTGGGTGCTGTGATTTCCCTATACTGATAAAATTGAAGGATAAGTGAAATGGGTATCTGCATATCAGTTGCAGAAGAAGATGATGATAAGAATGTGACAGTATTTGAAGGAAAGAAGAAGGTCCAAAATGAAAGTCGAAGACTTTTCTCTGTTTACTCCAAACCGGGTTGCAAAGGACTCAACCAGGATGCTGCCTCTGTTTACCAGGTTTGTTCTGCAGTTTCCTTGTTTAAGCATAAAAAAAACCACAAAAATTTCATGTAATTTATTTTCATTTCTTTGGCATTTATGCATCTCAAAGATATTGGCTAAAATTATATGGGACATCTCAAAGATTTGTGGAGCACATAAAATTGTTGAAACATAAATTTATTTTCTTACCTTTTCCTTTGCATTTTCTTCCAAAAAAGGGTTATGGAATCGAAGATGGAACATTTTGTGGTGTTTTTGATGGGCATGGAGGGAATGGACACAGAGTGAGCAAAATAATAAGCAGAGGATTACCTTCCCTCATACTGGACCAAAAGAATGTTCTTGAAAAGATTGATGCCATAGAAAATGGTTATCACAACAGCACCCCAAAAAACCATGTTGACACAATGAAAGAGGACTCAGCTGCAAACAAATTTCAGAAATGGAGAGAAGCAATTGTTAGTGCTTTCAAAGTGATGGAGAAAGATGTCAAGCTTCATTACAATCTAGATTGCTCTACCAGTGGAACCACTGCTGTAGTTATCATAAAACAGGTAAAAAAAAAAAACTGTTAGAAACACATCTTCCATAACTTTCTTTTGAACACATTAGTAAAAGTCACAATTTTTTAGTAAACTAATGAGGTTTTATCTAGATTCTATCATAACTTTATAATTTTCAATACATTTTAGGATAAATAAACAACTTGGTCTCTAAATAAGTCCTTCATATTGTAAAGGTCAAATTCCAGAATATTCTTAATAGTTTATTTAAATTCCTAAAGTTGTCTCTTTTGGTAATTTTTATATTATCATCACTTAAGTCCTAAATAACAAAAAGGGCTAATTATAGAGACTTACATGAAACCTTAAAAAAATTTGAGGGATTTATTAGAGTTTTCTTTAATTTCAAAGACTAATATAAGAATAAAATACATTTAACTTTTAATAGAGTATGAACTAAAAAATGAAACAATATTACTACACCTCCTTAAGAAACCTTTCTATTAATTTTCATGTTCATTGTGCAACAATAACAACACACAGGGTGAAGGTCTGATCATAGCTAATTTGGGTGACTCAAGAGCAGTGATGGGAACAATCTCTGATGAAAAACTCGTAGCCACTCAATTGACTACAGATTTGAAGCCTGAGTTACCTCGTAAGATTCTTCTTATAAACTATAAACCATGCATGCAGTTTCTTCTTTTATGACAATGTTAACTATCACTTTTCTTGAGGTCTAAACCAGCAATACATGTACTAATACTATCGCCTGATGGTAACACAGAATAAGTTAATGTTTATTATCACTGATTTTATAAATGATATTACTAAGAGAAATTATTAGGTGGTTCTAAAAGTTACAAGTCAAAACTAATAAAACCAAGTAAATTTATTTGCAACCAAATTGGAATGCAGGAGAAGCAGAAAGAATAAGAAGGTGCAATGGTTGTGTGTATGCATCGAAGGAAGAACCAGAAATCCAGAGAGTGTGGATGCCCAACAATGGTAGCTCCCCTGGCCTAGCCATGTCTCGATCTTTTGGAGATTTCTTGCTCAAGGATTATGGTGTCATTGCCATCCCAGAAATTTCTTATCACCCTCTAACATCAAGTGACCAATTTATTGTTCTTGCTACTGATGGGGTATGTGATACTTGCATTACAAAGTGTTATGTTTGCATGCCAATATAAAAAAGCAAAGAGATAGTAGTTAGCATCACACCTCTATTACTTTAATTATAGAAAAAACATAATTTGTGTAATTTTAAGGATTCTCAATAGTCATTAATGTAATTTATTCTCTTTATTATAATTAAAATTTGTTTAACAAATAGATTAAGAAACGAGACTCATCAAATGTTATGATTTTAATAATTCTAATCAGTGTTAAAGAATATATGATTCGCATACAGTAATTTTGTACATCAGTGCTTATCTTTAAACACATATTTTATTATGTAACTCAAGTTTATCTCTCTTGGTTAAATAAACCGTTGCACAGATTGTTATTTATATTAGTAATATTTTCCAATAGATAGATTTTGAGTTACAAAATGTTTTACTAACATTTTATAAAGGTTATTTAACATATAATATATATTATAATTCATACAACAATTTCTATAATATTTTTGGTGTATTTATCTATTTCCATAACATCCTTTATTACATTTTAAATTTATCTTTATCAAGTGTATAAATTGTTATACAAATTATTGTATAACATTTATCATTAAAAAATAGTCCCTGTAATTTTGCACAAGCATTCTTTAATGACTTTTTTGTTTGTTTTTCTTGGTTAAAGGTGTGGGATGTACTAAGCAACAATGAGGTTGCATCAATTGTGTGGAGTGCAGAGAGTGAAGAGGTTGCAGCTAGGGCAGTAGTGGAAGCAGCCACTGCTGCATGGAAAGACAAGTTTCCTTCATACATGGCAGATGACTGCACTGTGGTTTGCCTCTCCCTTCCTGCACAAGAAACCACCACTTCAGCCATGTCAAAACTAACTTTCTAAGTTAATTAGTGCCCCTTCTCTAATATTCTAGACACCATTTCCTGAAATCATGCTTTGTGAAAAGGCCACAATGATGTTCATTGAAAACTAGATGTTGTAAGCAGGGACAAGAAATTGAGAAAAAGGAAAATCACTTTGATCACACAGAGATATTGCATGCGTTTCAGTGGGGGTTTTGTAGAATTAATTTTAAATGAAATTTTTATTTTTAAACTAAATGTAATGATGTTTTTAAAAGAAAAAGTAATGATAATATAAAATTATAATCATACACAAAACTTGCTTTTTTTCAAAGTTAATTTTAGATTCAATATCAAGTCAACCTGAAACCGTATAATTGGATATTTATCAAAGTCAAGCTTACAGATATTTAACATGAATTTAAATAATTTTCTGTGAATCCATACCCATACATTCATATAATACCGAGTAGTCACTAAAAAATAAAAATTATCGTACAAATCTATCAAATACGCATTTCATCAGTCAAATTAATCATAACTGGAGGAGGATCAATGTGATATAGTAAAGTGCATATGTTGAAGACTAGTGACACGCTTCAAAATAGTTTCATCATCATTTTAAGTGCATCAGAATTCTTATGCTATAGTAGATACCCTCTTCTTCCAACACAAGATAGAATCCTTCCCAATAAAATCCAAATACAAAATACCGCCCCATCTGTGAACGTGTTTCACAGACCAAAAACAGGGTGAAACAGTAAGAAGAAGATTGTAAAATGTAAAAAATGTGAGAATGAGAAAGAGTTGCCTCAGTAGACTTCCATCTATGCTGTATAGAAAAGAGTAGTAAATTGTAATAAAGGGGGAAAAACAGTCGGGGGATGAAGGTCCCTTTTCATCCAGGGTCAGGTTGGGTTGTTAATCGTGCTTTATCCGAGCAAGTCATCATCATAAGAAACAGGAATCCTTAATCTGTCATGAACAGAGTTACGTTTCTCTTTACCTGATGATCCAGGTTGATCTTGCTTTGGCAATGCAGAAAAGGGTTTGTCAGAAACATTGCCCTGATGAATGCTACCATATGTAGAGGCCTCCCCTAGAGAAGAATTCTCTTTCTGTTGCACTGGTGGTTGCTTAACATTTGGCTGCCTGAATTGCTTCTGCATTATTATAAACAATGACAAGAGAACCTAATTACCACAGATCAAATAATTATGATATGAATAATTTTCGTTACTCTTTAGTGAATAACTATTCATAGCACTTATTTAAGAGCAAAACAACACAACTCTAACACATTAACAGTGCTGCATTTGTTCTATCCTACATAGAAGGTGGATCCAAAACAAAACGATCTTCCCTGATTTCATTCAATACAAGGAACATAAATATGTAAAGTGTTATACCAATGAAAACAAAAAGGTCAGCAGTCACACACCTCAAACTCCTTTGCTTTTTTCATAATCTCTTTATAAGCATTTGGTTCTCGAACCTTAATGATGCTCCACAATACACCACCCCTTGTTCGAAATCTCCTACCATCGACAGTTTTCTGACCTCCGCAAGACTGTATAGCATCCACCTGTGATTTTCACATTTGATTATACAAGTTTATGACATGTGTATCAAATTGAACAAATCAGAAAAGAACAACAAAAACAATTAATAAAAATAAATCTAATAATTAGAGATTCAAGTTTGCAATATTTTCATTTATAAATAATATAAAAATAATGTACATCATACACTGCGATTCATGAAGAGAATAAGCTACAAACAATTCAAATTTCATGAAATAATAATGAAGCAGTGGAAACCTATTATTAGGCCAAAGTCTTACAAAATTTTAGCAAAAAACTCCTCACTGCTTGATCCTGCAAATACAGAGATCCCGGATAGCTGCAACGAATTATATATGCTCCGTCAAAATACAACCTTCAGTTCCGTGTGTTTCCCCATAGATTTATTTGGGTATTCTCTTGGTCATAAGGAAAATGCTTGATGATTCCTAGCATGTTTAAACCAAAATATTATCTTTAATTTCTTCTATTTACATTAAGAATAATATTATCAATCTCATTTTTATCTTAAAATCATTCATAAAGAGAACAATTTTGGTATTTGATTTATAAAGGTTGTTCCTATTTTATACATACTTATATGTTGCATATAGTTGAATTGGATTTTCATAAAATGCTTTAAAGTTTTAAACAGTTCACAATTATGTATCGATAAAGAACGAAAAAAATATCGGTATAAGATGGGTGAAGCAAGTACAAATATTATTGATGTTTCATGGATTTGAATATTTTATTGACACATTGCGGTGCAGTATTCAAGATCATTGGATATGTGAAACTATTGAATTATTCTTACTTACTTCCTTTTCTTTTAAAATGTTTTCCTACCATTCAAACCACCATATCCATGATGCAATCATTATTAGAAATAAACATAATTAAAGGAACAGAAAGTGTTTAGAATTATTAAATTGGTGCAACAAGAGAACAGACGAACAATTCAGAAGTAAGTCAAGACACAGGTAAGGGACACTCAGCACATTCAAGTACCAAAATATCACTAGATAGATGTTCTAAAATTGTTTTTCAACCTCCAAACGACCACGATATTTCACTGAAAGATGTATATAGCTAACAAAGGAAAAAAGAAAAGAAAAAGAAAAACAACTTTCAACATGAAAGCAACGTTGCAGTGCCTGATAGGGTTCCAATACCTCACTGATGAGATCAGTTAACGCAGAAACGCCAAGGCAAGCAACAGCTGTGTATACCATGTATGACTTTTTCTCTTTCAGCCGCCGACATGTATCTATCACAAACCTGAAAGAGGAACTAAATTAATTAGAAATAACACAATTCATTAGTGTATATTTTAGGATAAGGATCAAGGATTGGTTAGTAGTGGTGCAACGGTGAGGTTGCTGTCTTGTGACCAGACATCATAGATTCACAGTTTAACCCCTGAAAACAACCTCACAACTTGCAAAGGTTGCGTACATCTGTCCTTTTTCTTTCCCATTAGTTGGGAGCCTCATGTAGGGGACCATTCATTAGATTAAGTCAAGCTGTACACATGCTGTAGGCTGTACTGAGTTGGTTGGTATTTTTATTTCGAACGTCTTGCGTGCTCATAGATACTTCTAAAGACAAAAGGTTGAAAAGCTTGGCCAACTTGATTCCTAAAAAGATAACTAGAACTTGACAGCCAAAGGAATGATGAGACATGTATGGTATTGCTATGTCCTAACCTCAATCTACAGTGTTGAAACTACTTTCACAACCGTCCTGTTTTTTCTTTTGAAGAATTTAATTGATTATGTTATAAGTTGTGGTGCATATTTGAACAAAAATCTATTATCAATAGAATGATGGGACATGTTTGGTGCTGCTATTTGTTCCCTAACTTCAATCTACTGTGTTGAAATTACTTTCACAACCATGTTCTGTTTTCCAGAAAAATCATTATGTTATAGGTTGTGGTGCTTATTTGAAAAATCTATTATCATTCATACAATTTGGTCATCTAATGATAATTTTTCCATAAAACTCTTCTTTATTGTATATATTTTTCCTGCATAAGACTACAAATATACTTAAGACAATATTATTTGAAACAAGTAGAATAAATTATAATTAATATCAGAACTATTTTTTGGCTGAGTATTTAACAGTGTTATATAATCAGACTTATATTCAATATTAAATCACTAATTGAGTTAGAACAATGAAGTATAAAAGGACATATTTTTTAAAATTCTGCATTAACTTACACTCTTATCCTTGCAAAACAGGTCGCAATCATACAAACAGACCCTCATAAAATGAAAAGAAAGAAACATTTTCGTTACGAAACTCTCTTCTTCTTTTTTTTCCTTAATTCACCAGAAATTCTAATTGCGATACTCACAGAAAATATTATATGCTACTCTAGTTCTCGTTATCGTTCACATAAAACTAATTTTTCAAAATTCCCTTTCAAAAAACCATTTTCAAACACATAAAACTCTTTCACATCAATTCTTTCAAAATCATTTTCACCGGAAAAAAAAAAAAACCGCCAGGCAAAAGAAGCAGTGTCGTGAACGTAACGTAAATTATATATAGCAAAACAAAAAAAAAACACTTTGACATAGATAAGAGGGTTAAAAGTTAAAACCTGTTAATATCAACGGCACCGTTTGTTCCTGAACCCTTTCTTCTGTTTCTCTTGTTTTTACGCCTCCGGTTCTTACTGTGCGGTTCTGTGTATTCCGCTTCTACACCGTTTGGTCCCGAAACGTTTCGTGAATCATCTTGTTCCTGTTTCTGCTCCTGCTCCACTAATTCCCCTTCTTCAACATCAACCATTTCAACATCGTCCAAACTTTCACCTTCGAAAATCGCATCCAGAATGTTCTCTCCATTCTCCATGTCAACACACTCAACAGCTCCAATAATCGAAAACCTCAACGCATGAAACTATAACACGATGAAATGAAAAGTTTGTCTGTGTTTATTATATATGTCACTGATTCAATTTCATGTCTCGCTGTGTTGATATCGCCGACTTAACTCCAAATTTAGGGTAATTAATTGCGCGTACCACATGATGCTTTAGCTTAATTAATTAGAGTAACAACGTTATAAATTAAAAAAATGGGATTTAATCGAAATGTAATAATATAAGAAGAAAACAATAATGTTTATGTGCGAAATTTTTTTGTATAAAATTTAATTGAATTTTTTTATCGACTTAAAATATGCTGAGTTATGAAATTTTATTTTTAATAATTTTAGTTTTTTAAATAAATAAAAACTTATTTTTTGGTTTCAAAATTTGTCTAGACGGTATTATTTATAATAAATAAATGATTAGATAGTAATTTTGAAAAAAACAATATTAATTTAAAAACAAACACAACAAATTCTATAGTTTAGAGATAATATTATATGTAAGCTTTTATTATTTTTGCATAGTGTATTATGAGGTGTGATGATATATTGAGTTCGTGTGGAATGTTTATGGAAAAACGTTTTTATACATACATACATACATACATATATATATATATATATATATATATATATATATATATATATATATTATAATGTACACCAATAATTAATATGAGTTGTCATATAATTGAAAAAAATATTAACTTTTGCAGTAAATAATTTTTAAGTATAAAATAATTCTAAATATTATATTTAATTGGTATGTACTCTTAACATTAATTAATTTTAATTATGTGAAGTCTGGATAATAATAATAATTATTATTATTATTATAATTATAATAGCAATAATATACGTGGATAATTTTCAAAAATAATATATAAAATATATATTATTAGGTAAGAATAATTTGTTTTTTAATTAAGAATTTTTATATATTAAGCTATTTATAAAACTATATAAATAGAAGGATGAATGGTTGTTATAAATATTTATTTCTATAAAATATAATTTTTTATATTTTCTCTAAATTTATTATATTGAAATTCAGATAAATTTTAGATTTGTACGTAATAGATACAATTAAATTAATAAGAAGGGATTTTTAATGAATAGAATTTTAAATGGTAAGTGATTTTCTCTAAAAATAATAAAAAATATTTCAGAATTCTCCGTTTCGAATTATACATATAAATTAAAACGTGAAAAATAAAGAATTTAATGAAATACTAATTAATTAAAAACAATATATATAAAAAGTTATGGTTAAATAAAAATATTAAAAAGATAACAATGATAAATTATAAATATTTACTTAAATAAGGAATGACACCTACCATAACATGGGGTTATATATTCTTACAACTAAAATATATTTATTGAGACTTCATTAAATTATGAGAGTAATTACTGAGATATATTTATAAAATATAATTTTTTATATTTTCTTTAAATTTATTATATTGAAATTCGGATAAATTTTAGACATTACATAAAAAAACTTATTATCTACTGGTAAAATCGTAGCAGTAATGACAAAAATCCATAGATAATGCACTCGCTTAAACAAAAATATTTTTATTTACTAACAACCCCTTTATTTTTTATTATTACCTAGGACTCCCCTCTCTTTTATATTATATTTTTATTATTTATGATATTTTTGAAACTTTGAATTATTATCAAATTAAACAAATATATTTATATATTTATATATTTATATATTTATATATTTATATATTTATATATTTATATATTTATATATTTATATATTTACATATTTACATATATTTACATATTTACATATATTTACATATTTACATATATTTACATATTTACATATATTTACATATTTACATATTTATATATTTACATATTTATATATTTATATATTTATATATTTATATATTTATATATTTACATATTTATATATTTATATATTTATATATTTACATATTTATATATTTACATATTTATATATTTACATATTTACATATTTACATATTTTTATATTTACATATTTTTATATTTTTATATTTATATATTTTATATTTTATATTTATATATTTACATGAATAAATATAAATATAATTTATTTGTAAATTATTATTAGAATATCTTAATAGTTTAGTGGTTGTAGTATTAGTTTTCAACTTTAAGGTATTCGAGTTTGATTTTTGCTAGTAACATTTATTTAATTTAATATAATTTACCTACGGATTTTTATCCAGTAGATAATAAGTTTTTTTTTGTAATGAGATTTGTACGTAATATGATACAATTAAATTAATAAGAAGGGATTTTTAATGAATATAATTTAAAATGGTAAGTGATTTCCTCTAAAAATAATAAAAAATAATTCTGAATTCTCCATTTCGAATTATACATGTAAATTGAAACTTGAAAAATAAAGAATTTAATGAAATACTAATTAATTAAAAATAATATATATAAAAAGTTATGGTCAAATAAAAATATTAAAAAAATGATAATGATGAATTATAAATATTTACTTAAAAAAACTTAATTTATTATAAACAAAGTAAAGAATGACATCTACCATGATATGAGGTTGTATATTCTTAGAACTAAAATATATTTATTTTAGACTTTATTGAATTAGGAGAATAATTCATAATTGACTAAGATATATTTATAAATGTGACGTTCGATCAAGTCGAGAGATATAATTCATAATTAACTGAGATGTGTGATTGTGGGTGTCAAGGAAGATACTGTATAACGTTAGTGTAAATATTATTCCTGTGTGGATTCAATGAGGTCTCATGTTCCATTTATAGCCTTGACCAAATAGACTAAGATATAAGTAGGTGAGAAGCCAATAAGAAAATTGTTGATGACTTGTCTCAAGATGGAAGAGAGATGCATTAAGCAGGTTGGTATTGCCAATAGTCCTACTATATAGGAAAACCAAAATGATGTTGACAATTAAAGAGTATTTGTTGTAGTATCGACTTCAACTTAACCTATATATGTTAGTCTCTGAATTTGGAGCATAATGTTTGCTTTCCAAAAAATGTCTATATAAGTTCAATGTATTATGTTGTGCATGCAACATAAATAATTTTCTTAAACATACAAGAATATGTGAGGAGCAACAATAATAAAAAATGACAAGAATAAAAGAGACACTACTATAAATTTTAGTTTCAATGACACCATTTTACATTGATTATTTAAGAAACAATGTAGAAGAAATGTGGTGGCATATTTATAAATATAAGAAAGTTTTTTATGTCGGTTGTGGGATAATCGATGTTGAATCGTTATTTTTACATCAATTATTGAACAACTGATGCAGAAAGCTCTATTAACCCTCAATCCCTTTCTTTTTTCATCCTCGCAACTTCATTCAATTCATCTTCCTCCCCTCCTTATAGTCATAATTGTCGAAACTCATAACCTCTTTTTCGTCCCTCTATCGTAGAGCAGGTCTTTGTGACCTCTTTGACGCCATTTGTGATGGTGCAGTGGGCTTCGTCATCCCTTTATTACACGTGCAGTGGTTCTCTGTCACCTTTATGTTGCCTTTATGTTGCAGTGCGATGGGTCTCTATTGTGATATAATGGATCTCCTCACAACAATGCATAATCAATAGAGAAATCAGTTTTGTCTCTTTGGCGACACTATGGTGTCTCTCCCTCTCGTGGCCTTTCTTCCTCTCGACAACACTACATAAGTAGTAGAACAATAAGTTATGGTGTCTCTCTTTTTCATAGTGTCTCTCTTTCTCTTGTGGCTAGCTTCTGCTCTTATCTCCCTCTAGTGGCACTCTAAACCCTCTCTGGTTACAGTTATAGATTCGTAATAACTCAACGTATTTTTTCCACCAATTATTCTTGGATAATAGTAAATATTAAAGGATGAATAAGCTTCATAATGTTACAATGTGTATAAACAGGAATGTGAAATTTTTCGTAAGTTGATTAATTACTTATGTAAAAAATATTGTTTGATTGTTAAAGTTTATCGTATTGTTATATGAAAATTGATTTTCATGCTAATAAGATGTTATATTTAGCACGCCTTGACACCAACAAAAATGAAAATTTATGTTTTGACAAAGAATGTTACTGTGAATATGAGTGTTTTTTGTAAGTTTGAATGTATAATTAAATTTGATTGTTCTAAAAATACAAAGGAGACTTTGTCGAATTTTCATCAAAACACTAATATTTTTAACGTGAAAAAATATCTCAATATGAGAAGTAAAATCTCAGATGCAAAAGTCAGTCAATTAAGTTCCACTAAGATTAAAATTTGAGTATAAGATAGTTAAATTAAAATGCATATGCAAGTGCCTATAAACATTCAATGAATAAAAATAATAATGTTCTCAAATTTGGAAAAACAAAATAAGAGAAATATAAAATTCAGCCACGATAAGAAAGTGATTTCTCTAATTATATATCTTCAATTAACAATCCAAATAGTCAAAAGAAAGAACTTTAGAACATGCGGTCAAAATTTTCACTTCGATCTAAGCAAAAATTATAATTTTACCGAGACGACTCGGTAAATAAACTAATAGTTTTCTCTTATTCTCTTCCAACGACTACAAAATTTACCTTATGTTATGATAAAAAAAAACTTTCATCATTTTGGTTAAATGAAATAAAATAAGCTTAACTAATTATTATTAACTTATCTTTATTTTTTATCTTTATTATGATTATGTTAATCATATAATAACACATATTATTATAAATACGAATATATATATATATATATATATATATATATATATATGAATACATAATTAATCTAAAATATAGTTATAATAAAATTATATATATATATATATATTAATTAATTAATTGTGTGACATGATTTTGAATTAATAAATATATTTTTATATTAAATATTTGTTAAAGTAATAATGACTATTTTTATATATACAAGTTATTTAAATAATAACGTTTACATAACAATTGCAATTTATGATTTTAAAAAATAATATTTAATATCAAGGGTCATATCCTTCAAAATTGTTGGTAAATAGACTCTTCAAATGCAATTTTTTTTTTCCAATCATACTCATTATTATCTTTAAATTAACTAGGTGAAGAGTAGTCAAAGGTGTTGAGTTTTGTTTTGACGAGTCAGAACCTAAAAAAATGACAAATGACTTGGACTTTTTATTGTTCACACGTTGCATAAGGTGTTGATTTTTTTCTCGATAAGGATTAAATGGGTTGAGGAAGGATTCTATTGGCACAATTTCGATGGTAGTTGATGGACTCACAGTTGTAAGTATATTAATTAGGTCTCCAATACATGGTTACTTATCCTTTTTCTCTACTTGCTTCCAATTGTATTAGATTTTTTTTTTAAATACTAAGAGTTGTATATTATATAAATGAATTGTGTCATTCATTTAAAATATTTAAGAGTTTTTAATATAACAAAATCCGGTAACTAATATTAATTTGTGCTGCTCTTTTTCAAAATCAGTTATTAATGTAGTAAATATATAAAAAGTGTTTAAGAAGAGTATGAATTTATTTTTATGTATTTTTTAATTTATCTTTTTATCTTATATTTTTTAAATTAAAGAATTTATAAGAGTGTAAGATTTAATAAAACCCTTAAATATTTAGATACTTTTTTTTTTCAATTATCTACTTAATGATCTTCTTGGGAGTTGAGGGGACCGTAACCCTCCAAAGTTTTATAACTCTCATGTAATTTGTGATTTTGGTCTCCCAAGCTTGATGAACATTTAATATATTTACTTGTGTATTTACAATTTTATCCTCTCAGTCTCCTTAGTTTTGTAACTTGCATATAATTTATGATTTTGTCTCCCCCAAACTTAATCATTTAATATATTTAACTATATATCTACACTCTTATTCTTTCATCATTTCATCTCCCTGTTATATTCACTGTACTTAATAACCTTTCTTATGGAAAATATTGGCATGAGATTTTTCAACTAAATTAATGGATAAGTTTTTGTCTTCACATGTAAATGAGGTAATCAATTTAACATAGGATTTGAATAAAAAAAAAATTGAACGAACAAAAGACCAATACTATATGCAACATGAAAATATAACCAATTGACTATTTTTTTTTAAGGATTTATTGGCTCTTATAGTTTTATATATTTTCTAAAATTTCATAAAACTTTCAAATCTTATCAATTCATACAAGCCTTTGTGGCAAAGCAATCCTTTCTTGAACAATTTGAATAGGATGGCAAGTAATAATGCAAATACCTATTCTTTAAGGTCGTGGTGGTAGGCTTCATGGGTGTTAAGTTCTTCTTGTAAGGCAAGTTATAAGATGGTCCCTCCATCAACATGGACTCATCCCTTCAAACTCATCATCATCATCTTTTTCTAAAGTATTTGGACAAATATTTCAAATTCTTTAGCAGTCTAATCTTCATGTTGCAACAATATAAATAGTTAACATTCTAGTTTTCAAATGGTTAAAATCTTATTTGAAATTTCTCCATCACAGGGTACATTTAAATAGTCTTTATGTTCATTTCTTGAAATAAAAATGCAATAAAAAAAAAAATCAAAGAATTATAAAGACATCATTTTCTTACTTACATAGAGTCCCCAAATCTCACTGTCAGTCATGCTTGTATCACATGTATACCACATAAATCTGAACACTAAACAAAATAAATTAAACTAAATAATATAAAAATTTATAAATAATCTATTAATTTAAATATTTAAAAAATATTGATTTGTATTACACGAAATTATCTCGGTTAATTTTATATAATAAATAATTTAACTTTTTCCTGAATAATTAAATTATTAACTATAAAAAAAGTATTAAAGTAAAAAAAAAAAATTTGATCGACAATCAATGTAATGATTACCCTCTTACTTAAAAAGCAATAATTTGATGAAGCAAAATCCATACAAAAAAAAAACCCTAATTGCTGACTTTAGGGCCATCTATACATAGACATATTAAAAAAAAAAAATATTGTTGTCCCAAGTTTATAAAAATATCTAGTGGGGTTGCATACAAGTCTACGTTATTTATTTAATATTGAGATTCAAATGAATGTCCCATTCAAATGGACCCAGAATGAATGCAATTATGTGAAAGATTCCACTAACAGATAAGTATCTATTGAATCACAAACAATGTTGAAGCAACAGAGATCCACTCCAATGATTATTCTCCATCTTTAATTTTTTTTTTGAGATAATTTTGCATAAAAAAGTTGTATTGCAAGAGTTAGTTTGGTTATATTATAAATTAATAATTAATTACGGTTTTTTGTTTATTAGTGTTTTAAAATTTTTATTAATATGTTTTTCTTATGAAAATAAGAAAAACATTAATCTATTTATACCGTTCTATATAAATAAATTTTATTTGTTTGACGCAGTCCAGAGAAGAAAAATATTTAAAGTCTTTTGAAAATATATTAATGCTTTATTAATACAAAACTAACTAAAATTGTGAAAAAATATGGAAAATTAAAATTGCGTATCATTACAAATAAAAGTATTAAAATAAATTTAAAATAATAATTTTTTTCTAAAATTATATTATTATTATTATTAAAAACACAGATATTAATGTATTCATACATTTTATATAATTAATTTCTTTAAAGTATTTTTAAATATTTTATTTTATTTTTTCACTTTTTAAATATTTTTTATATTTTATTATTTTTTAAATATATAAAAGAATATATTTACATGCAATTATTAAAAATTATACACTAATTTTGTTAATGGTTAATATTTGACGAAAATTATCTAATTTAATATCATTAAAACAACATGTAATAAAGATGAATTTTAAATATAAAATGATCAATTTATAATTTTTAAAATCATGATAAACAACCGAGTAATTAAATCATCGATGTAATACTTTACAATTGTATTAAATAAATTTGATTAAAAATTCACTTACGCGGAAAGAAACATTGGAGTTGAGAGTAAGGCCCACACATTAATCTCATTTTTGATTCCAGGCCCAGATCCCATAAAGAGAATCTGGGAACATTTTTACTTTAAATTATTTATATATATATATATATATATATATATCCAAATTTCTTAACCACTTGCGTTAAGAGAATAGTTTAGGAACAGAAGAAGAGTATTGCGATGGAGAAGCTATCGATGGCGTCAGGGAAAAAGAATACGTGGGTCCCACAGTGAAGCTTCCCCCATGAATGTAACCAAAAATAAGGAAAGTATCCAATTCCTCACCCGCACGCTACCACCAAACCTTCCCAACCTAACTTCTCAATTCGCAATTATTTTATCTCTATTTAATCCCTCTTCCGCTGTTCCATTTCTCCACTCACACCACTCACTACACTCCTCTCTCTCTCTTCACTCTTCCGATGGCCAAACCCACTCTCCTCCTTCTCCTCCTCGCTGCCGTGGCTTTCGTCTCCGCTAGCCGTGATTTCGCCGGAGACTTCCTCCGACTTCCATCCGATTCGGATAACGATGACAACGTTCAGGGGACGCGTTGGGCCATCCTAATAGCCGGTTCCAGTGGCTATTGGAATTACAGGCATCAGGTCCATATCTTATTCTGATGATTCTACTAATTTTAATATCTTTATATTTTTCAATTATTAGAAATTATTTGAACCGTTGGATTGTGAATCTTTTAACAGAATATTTCAGATTCGATGTTTGAGAGAGTGTGAATCGTCCGATTGAGAGGACAAATGAATCTCTGATCGTTACGGTTTTAAAGGACGTACTGACTAAATAGTTGTGACAAGTCTTCTTAACTGTCTCTGCAACTGATTATTGAGTATAGTTTTTTAATAAGACTTCTGAAAAAAAAATTGCAGAATGAATTTGTTTTTGAAAATTTTAAATGATTATTTCAAGTGAAATAGATGATTATTTAAAAATTATTAATTTGTATTTTATCAAAATATATTTTATTAAAAGATAAAATAATCACAAATAAAATAAGTAATTAGTTAAATAATTATTAATTTCTATTTTTTAAATAAATAATTATTTATATTTACTAGAAGACAAAAATAGTTAAACCACAAAAAGGATTATGGAAAAATGAATCCTTCATATATTGTATAGATTATAAATATTTGTTTAATGATTTTGTCTTCTCTGTGTTGGTGGGATAATAGAATACCAACCTGAACGGTTTACTTTTAATTTAAAGTTAAAATATAGAGAATGATTACAACCTTGGGGGCCTTCTTCTTAATTAAAAAATTGTATTTATTTCCATTACTTAAATATTATTCTTATCTTTTATATTGACTTCTATTATTTAGAAAAATATAGTATATTCTTACTTTATATTGACTTCTATTATTTAGAAAAATATAGTCTATTCTTACTTGAGAACAGTACACTTAGTAAGGGTGTTACTGGGGGATATGTGTGTAATTTTCTTTTTACCGAAAAGGGTATAAAAGTTAGCAACACTGTAAGGGAGGCAAACAAAAACGTTAATAACACGCTCTTTTGTTTTGCTAAAATACACTCTGAATTTTAATACTTTATTTCTGAAACAACTTTTCCTATTGTATTCGATTATTTATGTAGGATCTCATAATTAATATTTATTAATGTGATTTGATACTCTTTCATATTTTTTATTCAAACTTCTCACTCAATAAGAAATCTTTTTTTTTTCTTCAAAGGAATTTGATATTGTAACTTGGGTTTATGATTTTTTTCTGTAATATTTTTGACATTATTATAAATATATGTTTTATGTTTTATAACTTTTCATTAAAAAATTATAATTTTTTACAAAGTAACATGATGTTTGTAACTTATGTGCATTTTTTCTCTCTCTAAATTTTGACATTATTATAAATATATATTTTATACATTAATTTTTTTCATTAAAATCTAATAAATTTTATTTTAAATTTAAATATATTTTCATTTTTTTAATTATACTGTTTTGTTTTAAAACAGTCATAATTTTCTAAAATATATTTTTAAATGATTTATTTTTATGCTTTGTCATCACTTTCTGTTAAGAATTTTTACTAATGATATTCACATGTTTAATGTTTAATGAGACTCACATGAATCACATGACATACACATGTTTACTATTGAATTTTCAAAGGAAGAAAAAAAAGTGTTATTAACATTTTTATATATTATTGATATTTTGCACAGCACTCATTTTCGATTCGGTACCTTGTGCGAAAGTGATTGCAATATAGTCCCTACATAAAATCATTTACCATAATATCTATGACTGAGTTGAAAATATTTGCCACATTTAAATACAAAAATATGATACATAATTATTATTTTCATTTTGCTCTACAGTTCAAAATTTATTACCGTGATATATATAATTAATTAGGTTAAAAAAATTAATTGCGATGCATATTTAACTTGTCTCCAATTGCGATGCATATTTATATAATTTATTTATAAAAAAACTTATTATTTTAATATGACTTTTACACATATAATAAATTGAACAATAGTTATACTTAGGATTTATTTTAAAATAATATCTTTATTTATAATAACTAATTCGTATGAGTAGCCATGACAACGGGACGGGGTAGGTTTTGTCTTCTCAATATCTGCTCCTGATTTTTTTAACCATTCTCGTTCTTGTCTCCGATTCTTGTCTGAATTAGAAATTAAGTCTCTGTCCCAGTTGGATTTCAAGTTATTCCGCTCCGTCCCCAATCTATATTATTTTTAGAGAGATAATTATATTTATAATAAAATAATTTTATTATGTATTTTTTATATATAGATAAATATTTATAAAAGAAATATTTATATTAAAATATGTGTACAATAAATATTTAATTATTTTTTATTTATATATATATAATATTTATAATAATAATATTATTATAATATTGTATTCAAATATTTGAATATTTATAATATTATTATTATTATATTATTATTATTATATTCAAATATTTGATTATGTAAGATAATTCATTTTTAAGTTGTTATTTTAAAATATGAAATATATAATTTATAAGGAAATATTTAATAAATTAATTCTTATTTAATTAATTTGAAGTAATAAAAGTTAAAATTTTTTTTTTAAAATACAATTCTTTATTAAGATAAAATTTGATATATAATAAATAAGAATAATAAGATTAAAAAAATATGGCATAATAAAATCTAATAAATATAAATTATAAATAAAATAATATTAGTTAATATTAAGATTTATATAAAATATTTAGAAAAAGATTAGATAGATTAATGAAATGTGAAAAACCGAAAGAAAATAGAAAAAGAATAATGTAATAAACTAATTAATATAAAAAATAAAAAAATAAAAAGTGAGTAGGAAAAAAATAAAAATAATAAAATATAAAATAATGGCCTTATAGGTAATAGAAAAAAATAAAAATACTAAATCGGGATTGCATTACTCATCCCTCACTGCCGTTCCCGACTTTTTAAAGTGGAGAAAACCCGAATCCGCCCCCGGTCAACTTGATTTTTTCTGTCAAACTCTAATAGAGACGGATCGATCCCTACGGGGACATGTTTAATTGTCATCCCTAAGAATAAGAAAGGGTATGCTTGTCTTTTTTTTACCATCTTAATTAAAATCATGGATCATTAAAGATGATGATATGAATAAAGTTCATAAATCTTAATCGGTTCTTATCATAAAAGATTGTTTTGTGAAAATGAGTCAGAATGTTCTAAATTCAAAATTACAACAAAAATTGAACCTTCATCAAGTAAATTTAATTATTTTCTTATAGGGACACAGCGAAAATGAAACGAGGATCACATAATAAGATAAAAAAATATACTATACCCTTAATAATTTAGGGGTGTTTGCTTACACTTTTATTTCTTCTTTACATTTTTCTGTTTTTACTTTTTAATTTCAAATGCTTTCACCTTTAAATCTGTTTCCTATTTCAATGATATGTACAAGAAACATTGAAAACAACTGTGGAATCCCTTAGTTTATCATCATATTCTGTATTGCATAATTATTTAGTTTTAATATAGAGTCTTTCTTGTTTCATCAGGCTGATGTTTGTCACGCCTATCAAATACTGAAGAAAGGAGGCCTGAAAGAAGAAAATATCGTTGTTTTTATGTACGATGACATTGCATTCAACGAGGAAAATCCAAGGCCTGGAGTCATCATTAACAAACCAGATGGAGATGATGTTTATAAAGGAGTTCCAAAGGTATTTATGTTAGGTTTTTCAGTATCCCATATTTTAAATTATCTAGTTTGATAGGTTCTAATATGTGGACTGTTTTATGGCAGGATTACACCGGTGAAGATGTTAATGCTCATAACTTTTATGCTGCTTTACTTGGAAATAAGTCGGCTCTTACTGGTGGCAGTGGGAAGGTTGTGAACAGTGGCCCCGATGATCACATATTTATATACTACACTGATCATGGTGGTCCAGGGGTGCTCGGTTAGTAGCTCTGATCCTCTCACAGAAAATTTTAGTTATGGTCATGGATTGTGTAGGTTGTTTATGTGGGTTTCAGCATGGTATAGGCCTGGGTTGGGTTTATCACTAACAAATAATGTGTTTACTATTGTTCTTTGGTTGATTGTGTGCACATTTACTTGATTATTCCTGTGTAGAACGAAACATCTGAATATTTCAGTGTCAACTATTATTTCCTCGAAGTGATCTTTGTGTTCTGTGGTGGGGATACGACGATTAAACAATCAAGTGATACTTGCGAACAGAGATGTATATGAATAGAATGAAATATTTCAAAATCACCTTCTGTTTATTTGGAATTTTTTTATATCTAATATTTTTTCTTAGTAGTGATGTATTTTCGGTAGCAAACAGTGGTTAATGGGAAATTAGGCATTATTCATCATAGCTGGACGATACTACATATTTTTGAATTGATTACATTACCTAAGGATCCGAGAGTCTATTCAACAAATGGTTATACTATTCATTCATCATTTATAATACCACTTCTATTTACAATTTATGACATTTCAAAGTGTATGAAATGAAAAATCATTC